ACACGACGCTCTTCCGATCTCCCCAAAACCCCAAAACCCCATAATACTAAATTGAGTAGCAGTTAGAAAAAGGAGTAAATTAATAAATAATTTGTTAACGATTAAATGTCAATTTGGTTTCCATTGCTTCTTCCTAACTAGATAGGCAATTAGTTGAATAATCTTATTAATTAAAGTATTTCTTTTGATGATGAAGATGAAGAAAATCAATTGCTTTTAGAATACCCAAATATCAAATAAAAGAGTATTAAAATTAAAGAGGGTTTAAGAGAACTCGCAAAATATTCATACAGCTCAGTTAAACAATCAGTAATTAACGAAATAAATGCACATTTTGAGTAGTTTGTTTCATTTATTTCACATCTCAAACTAATGGTTGTCAAAGAATTCAAAAATTCTTTATAACTTAAAAACTACAAGAACTAAGTAATGGCTATAAATCAAAGTTACAAGGAGCTATAATAGAGATTTGAGAAAATTGATGAGGAAACTAAAAACTTATCTATAAATGATGATTTAATGTCGAAATCTAAAATTTACACTTCAGAGCTTGATGATATAAAAGATAAGCTTGAATTTTTCACAAAGAACAATGAACTTAAGGATAAATGCAGGATAAGAATGATTACAAATTAGCAATCACTCAAGAGAGAAATAATATAAACTGTCAAAAATAGTGTTAGAATTTAGTTTCCGTAGAATGATTAAAACTTTTTAAAGCAGTTTGATAACTATTTTACTACAAAGTTATAAAGTGATAGCAACACAGGATTTGTAATGAAAAAAGAAAATATCCTTAACTCAGATATTCAAAAAATGACTCCAGGATTGCTAAGTACTAGAAGAACACATAAATTAATGGGAAAAAATAATACTACATCAGTCTTGAAGGAAATTGAATTGAGAATCTCTGATTAAATTCATTATGCCGTTGCTGAGAATGAACAAACAACCAAATAGTTCGATTTAGAAATGCTTTTGCATAATGTAAAAGGGAAAAAATTTCAAAGAAGTAAAGTATTTGCAAATAACATTTTTAGCTCTGATGGATAAGAGGAATAATAAATACAAAGGGGAAATGGAATAATTAGCTGGCACAAGCGAATTAATTAAAAGTGGGATTGGAGAGATGCAATACTATGATGGATCTAACTATATTGGAGAATGGCACATCGATAAAAAGCACGGGCATGGAACATACATATCTAATGCTAAGGATAAATATATGGGTTAATGGTTTGATGACATGAAACAAGGAAAAGGAAAGATCGAATACTAAGATGGTAAAATTTATGAAGGGGATTGGAAGTTTGACCTTTAAAATGGCAACGGTACTATGAGAGATCCTGACGGATATTATTATGAAGGATAATGGATGCAAGGTTTGCCTCATGGATAAGGTTTTGCATTCTTTAAGGATGGATCTAGATATACTGGGACTTTTGTACAAGGTGATAGAAGTGGATTTGGAGTAAATACATTTAAGGATGGAGCTGAATATGAAGGTGAATGGTTCAAGGATAAAATGCAGGGACAAGGCACCTTCAAGTATAATGATGGCAAGATCTATATAGGTAAATTTGAAAACGGCCATAAGCACGGGAGAGGAGAGCTTACAAAGTTGGACGGGAAAATTATTGAAGGAGATTGGATTAATGATGCACTTGTAAAAATTATTAGGGAAATATCTAATTGATCGTTCAAATTTAATTACATTTCTATCAATTATTGTCTATTATCTTCATTTCGGGGTTTTGGGGTTTTGGGGTTTTGGGGTTTTGGGG